CCCAAAGAGTCCAAGTACTAGTATAGTATATACTTTAGGGGCCCAAATACCTACTAAGTACCTACTATAATGGTATTTGGACCCTTTGGGGGTAAACCCTAAACCCTAAACCCTAAACCCTAAACCATGTGGTATTATGTTTGCCTTCCCTCCACGTTCTACTCCAGGCTCGAGCAGGCCTCGTCACTCCTGGCCAGCAGCGGATGTGAGCTGCGACCGGGGCGCAGTCTGAAGCGAAGAAGAGAAGGTCCAGAGGAATAGTCCGAAAAGTGTAGGGTTTAGGGTTTAGGGTTCAGGTTTTAGGGTTCAGGTTGTAAGATTTCGCTTTCCCCTGGGGCTCCAAAAAGCCAAAAGTAGGTACTATTTACAGACTTTAGACCCAAAGTAGGTTCTATTTGCATACTTGGAGCCCTAGCAGGGTTGAGGCAAGCTGCTAAATTAAATGGGCTTGTAGGTTTGGGTTTCAGGCTGCTCATCGATATCGTATGCGTCCTGTGTCGGAATTGGGGCTTCCTGGGCCCCGGACGCCACCGGCTTGAGATGTGCCTAGCACTTTGCGTTGGGCATCTTCCTGGCTCCGCGCCTCGTTCCGTGGCATCTCCGCTAACCGCTACTTGCTTATGTATATATGCGTGTCTGCAGTTGTGGTTTGTTTGTAGGGCTCGGGACCATCTGCATTCCCAAGCTTTGGTGCCGTTGAATCCTTCATGCTGAGCTGGCTTGTAGGATCATAGGCAGGCCTCGACGATGACAGTTTGCGATGGCATCTTTGCACACGCACCCCCAAGCCAAAACTCCAGACTCTGCATCCCTGTCCCTAAAACTTAGATCCTGAAGAAATGAAGTCTGCACATATGCCTGTCACGGGTTCCTTTCACGGCCGTATGGGGGATCGGAATACTTCGAGCCTATTGGAAACTGCACTGCTAACAGAATTAAACCCCTAGATCCTAAACTCCTAAACCCTAACTAAGAGGACTTTTAAATTCGGTTTCGAGTACAGTTAGGACGGCTCAAATTGCCCGAAGCTGCGCTTCCCATCTGCAGCCCTGCTTCAAGTTCTTTATGGGATAGGCACACGTATGCTGATCAGTTCGACATGTACGGTCACGATTAGTTTTACTTATCTGTACCCAAGACGCCGAATGTCCTCACTAGAAGATTCAATGAGGGCAATGTCCATGCAGCGAATGTGGCAGTGTGCTGGATAAGCTGCATCGAGACCCTGCACAACTGTATTCGGTTTGGGTTCAGGATTTGGGGTTTGGGCTTAGATTTGGGGTTTAAGGAGATGCGCTCTTTCGTTGGTCAGAGCGTTTGAGGTCAGTCTATGTGTCGTGAGGGTGGCTCTGACACGGGTGGCGGCAGCTAGACTCCTAGGCACGACTGTATGCATTTGTAGACATACAAGCACACATGCATACACCCACACATGATTACAGGCATAAATTCATAGATGCATACATACATACGTACATGCGTACATACGTACGTTTATACATACATACATACATACATACATACATACATACATACATACATACATACACACATACATACATACATACATACATACATACATACATACATACATACATACATACGTTTGTACATACAGACATTCCATTCCATTCCATTGCATTACTTACGCTAATGCATGGCATTACATTACATTACACTATGTCCGTCCATCCATCCATCCATCCATCCATCCATCCATCCATGCATGCATGCATGCTTGCATGCATGCATGAAGACACACATACATTCCTAATCCTTTATTCCGTCAAGGCTAGACGCCCTAAGCCCTACTTTCTGCTGCAGAGGTTTCAGGGTTTCGCTTCGTGCCTGGAATTGGCGAGAGCTTGTGCCTCACGGGCGGAGTGATTGGCTCTGGCCCTGCATCAATCCTGCAGATGACCCAAAGGTTCCGACGTACCCATGTGATATATACTTACACACCGTAATCAGTTGTAACCCTAAACCCTAAACCCCTAAACCCTAAATCCTCTTACAAGAGTTCTTTATGTAGACACCCTGCTATCTACGGTTGCCATGTAGGTACTTCGGACCCTTTGGGGATCACCCAAAGGGTCAGGGCATCGCTTGATTTGAACTCGTCTGTTGTGATTAAGACCAAGCCTGTGCGAGAAAAAGCTCATGCTCTCCTTTCAAGGTCTTCCCGGGTTTTAATATGGAGGGCCTTATGGCTTTTGGGCATATTATATTACAAGAATAATAAGCAACCCCTTAGATAGTATTCGTAATTATATAGGCCCCTATAGTAGGTCTTAGATCTTGGAGTATTGGTTCGAAGGCTTCAGTCGACCGATCTGGCAAGCAAGCAATTCGGGGTCCTGGTGCTCTCACCTAGGCTCGACACATCATCCTGCGTGGCACATGGCATGCGGAGCTTGGGCAGAGTTCGGGTAGTACATGATCTCAGCTGATCCATGTCAATGCATCTTGGGGGACTGAAGACTAGCTGGGCTCCATTTTGGCTCTAACGTGTTTGGGCCTAGGTTCTGATGCTTTAAAGCTGTTTGCAACCGTCACCCAATTGGCATGGGAGCACTGACTAGGCACTGGAGCGTCGACTGTCACCGCGCTGTCTGGGATTCTACAGATTTTTAGGAAGCCAGGATTGGTGGTCCACCTACTTGGAGTATCATGGGACTTAATAAGTACAGTTATGAGTACCCTAACTGGGGTTATAAGTTATAAGTATAGTTACCTTATTTATAACCCTAATTACTAAGTCCCATGAGCCTTTAAGTAGCGCCTTAATTCTAGTTGCATTTGTATCGTTAGCTTCCTCCCTTATCCTAAATCTCTGATCCCTGAACCCTTACTATGGGATGCCAGCCATACAGTGAATGCCCAGACAGTTGAAACATCGATAAAGAATAATCAGCGATGGGATCCCATATAATACTATACCTGAAGGGCATGAATGAAGATGTTGATGTTCCGAGCTTCTGCTTTCTACTTGAGAATCCTAAAGGGTCCAAACACCAATATGGCAGGTTCTTCGTAGATATTTAGGCCCCAAGTTTTGACTAGACTGTTACTTGGACCCTTTTGGAATGCCAGCTTAGTACAAAGAGGAACTACATTTCCTAGGCAGTATTCGGGAGACCCCTGAGAATAAACCCTTTTAAACCCTACTTATGGCTCTCTTAAACGGGACCCTATCAAGAGGGCCTATATCCCCAAGGGTCCCCCTAATCCTGACTCCTAAAACCCTAAACCCTAAACCCTACACCCTAAACCCTAAACCCTAAGCCCTAAACCCTAAACCCTAAACCGTAAACCCAAAACCCTACACCCTAAACCCTAAGCCCTAAACCCTAAGCCCTAAACCCTAAACCCTAAGCCTTGTTCTAGGCAGGTCAGGGCTTCGGCCTCGGGCCCAGGGCACCCAGGATTCTCTTGGTGGAGATGACTCTAGAGTTTAGGGTGTAGGGTTTAGGGTTTAGGGTCTATAGAGTTTAGGGTTTAGGGTTTATAGGGTTTAGAGCTTAGGGCTTAGGGTCTACAGAGTGTAGGGTTTAGGGTTTATAGGGTTTAGGGCTTAGGATGTAGAGTTTAGGGTTCAGGGTTTAGGGTCTATAGGGTTTAGGGTCTATAGGGTTTAGGGTTTAGGGGGGTTTAGGGTTGTGTGTCTTGATCGAAATTTTCCAGGTTTTTATAAGATTTCGGGTGCGAAGAGTAAGCCGATTGATGTTTTGGGTTTTTAAGTAGGATAGCCACATCTGAGTACCCATAACCTTGTTTCGGATCTTTCTACCAAGTCACCTGGTTCTCCGATTTCTTGGGTTCGAGGTTTAGGCTTTAGAGCTGTGCATTCTGGAAACGATTCTGTAGTCTGTGGTGTTCTAGACTAGAAACATCCAAGTCCGTAGTAGTAGTAGTAGTAGTAGTAGTAGTAGTAGTAGTAGCAGCCGAAGGCTCTTTACCCAGGACCCCCTTGCTCTAAGCTCCTCTAAACTAGAATGTGCATGAGATTGCCTCAACAACTTTCGAAAACCTATCAGCCACAGCTACTTTCGGATTTCTGCCTGGAAAACAACGCGAGATCTTAAAACGCTATAAACCCTAAGCTTGGAAACATGCGCCTCTCCTTGGGGTGATCAGGTTTGTGCGTCTAGGTTTCAGAGTTAAGAGTTTAGGTGTACAGGGTTTCTAGGGGTTTACGCTTTAGGTCCATGGCGCTGCAAGGGTCGTTATTGTGATGCAGGGGCAGCTCAAGTCCGTTTGCCGGCAGGATGCTGAAAAGCTTCGGGAAGAGGCACCCACTCGCGAACAGGAGACTCTGCGGGGAAGTGGCTTTCGTGTTCCGGTTTTGAGGATTTATGGTACTGCTTGTGGGTTGAGGGGGAAGATCTGCATGTCTAGAAGATTGCGAACCCCAAAAGCGCTACTCTGTCGGGACAGCTTATATTAGGCTTTCCCTCCAAGGCTCTCAACAGGATTTACATCATCACCCGTATCAAAACCCACAGCAGCCTAGGAAACCCTGTGCAAGAAAACCCTAAAGTTCCAAGCCGCACAACCGCTGTAAACCCCAAAGAAAGCCCTAAACCCTAAACCTTAAATCTGAACCCTCAACCCCAAACCTAAGCCGTAAAACTGAGTACTCATAGATCCGATGAGACATGGTATAAAGCTTTATGAAACCCTATCCAACAAGCACACAAAACCTTAACGAACTCTACCGAGGCTCCCAAGACGAATGAAGCTTTAAGTGCCGTAAACCCTGTATCCTAAAACGTAAAAACCCTAAAAGCTCTATCCCTAAACCCCAAGACCCTAAAATCCATATCCCTCCCCAAAACCTTAAAAACTATATCCCTACACCCCAACATCATAAAATCTATATCCCTACACTCCCAGACCCTAAAATCTATCTCCCTAAACCCAACACCCTAAAATCTTTATCCCTACACCCCAACACCCTAAAATCTATATCCCCCCCAACACCCTAAAAATCTCTATCCCTAAACCCCAACACCCTAAAGTCTATATCCCTACACCCTAACACCCTAAAATCTATATCCCTATGTACACCCCAAAACCTTCAAAATCTCTACCCCTACACCCCAAGACCTTAAAATCTCTATCCCTACACCCCAAGACCTTTAACATCTCTATCCCTACACGCCAAAACATTAAAATCCCTAAACCCTAAACCCTAAACCCTAAATTCCTACACCCCAACACCCTAAAGCACCCTAAAGCACCAGGAGCTTCAGGGCCAGGAGCGTTTCCGCGCCACGCAGGCAGGCAAGCTCGAGAAGCTCTATGAGGCCCAGGGGGGCTTAGGGTTTTAGAGTTTTAAGGTTTAGGGTTTTAAGGGTTTAGGGTTTGGGGCTTTAAGGGTTTAGGGGTTTAGGGCTTTAAGGGTTAAAAAGGGCCTGGGGGTTAAGGGCTTTTAGGGTTTAGGGATTAAGATTGAGGGTTTAGGGTTTTAAGATGTTTTAGGGTCACATATTTGGGTTACTATACGCGATCCCGAAACCCAGAACCTTTGAACCCTAAATCCCAGGCTCTCGGTTTTAGGGGTTGGGGTTGGGGTTCTGGGAGTTTAGGAGGTTTGGGTAGTTATTCTAAGCTGAAAAGGTTCCTTAAAGGGAGCTATAAGGGCTTATGGACTGCCCATAGGTTTAGGTTTTAGGGTTGACTATACAGATTACTAGTGTGGTTACTATATGGGTTAGGGTTTGGCATTATAAGGTTTAGGGTTTAGGGCTGAGGCGTTTTGAGGAACTATCTGGTCTTTAAAAGGGTTTACGACATTAACCCCTACACCCTAAACCCTAAGCCCTGTTCAGGGCTTACTGCTTGGAGTTGAGCGGTCCTTAAAGGGTTCCTTAAGGATTCCGTTAAGGTTACTCCAGTTCCAGGGTGTGGGTTTAGGGCTTGGTTCTTAGGATTCCTCATCGTGGTGTGGTCCTTGAAGGGCTGTAAGGGTATACACCTGTGGCACCTGAAACTTGCGGTTTGGGCGTTGAGGGTTTGGGGCTAAATTGAAGCTTTCGGGTTTCGGGGTTTAGTGTTTTGGGTTCCCAACTCAACAACGCTGAACTCTACAAGCTCAACACCGCAGCAGCCCCGAACCCACACTCCAACTCTCGACAGCCTCACATGCGAAGCTGTCCAACAACAAAAGAGCCCCAACTATGTGAAATGTGGTTGGTGTCTGCATCGTAGAGCATTAGAATAGCCGTCCCACTAAGTCAACCGTTACCCTAGACCCAAATCGTTCCTGATTTTGCTGTGCTCTCATTTAACTCCCTGCGCCCGTAACCTTAAACCCTGCTTCTTCTTGATCCCCTGCCCTGCTTCGTCTTTGTTCTATGCACCCGCAGCCACGCAGGGCTTGAAAGGCAAGGCCGAGAAGCTTCGTCCAGCGAAGGAGGCGAAGGAGAAGGAATTGGTGCAGCCTGTCTCAAACCGTTTCAGGGTTTCGGGTTCAGGGTAAGGTCGGACGCTCATGAATACCCGGCCCTGATCTTACGATCCCTATGTGTATATATATATATATATATACTGTATACTGTATAGTATTTCGTGTTGATTTAGGTGGGGAGTTCTTCATCAATGCACGAGAATTCCCCTGAAGGTTGATGGGTGGCAGCTAGGTGGGGTTGTCAGTAGCTGAGTAGAGCAAGTGTGGATGTCCGCTCCTCATAGCCCACACGTATCTGTCGTTCAGCAACTCACATAATATGGAGCCCTGAGTCCTGAGTAATCTAGGTCATCAGAGTTTCGTTATGAGCCCCCAGTGCATGCTTGCGGACAAAGTGCAGAAGTTCAGAGGCAGTTTGTGTATTCAAGTGTCTTCATTGAACTACGCACACACGCACACGGAAGGTTTGTGGTGAAGCCGAAGTTTGTAGATGTCGGTTTTCGTTTCCCTCGTTCAAGTTGCGGGATTTTCGTTTCCCTCGTTCAAGTTGCCGGGTTTGCGATACGAAATCACGTGGGTCCCCAAAGCACCTAAACATGAACTGTTGAAATCTGTCAGGATATCAACTTTAGGAGTCTGTTTGTCCTGTTAGGGGTTTGTTGGGCTCCCAACATAAGGAGGAGTGAACATGTTGGATATTGTAGCTGGTAGTCCGCCATCCAATCATTAAGGCCCCCACTTCTGTTTGTAGGACACGGCACATTAGCATGTTGCAAGGCCTCTGCAGAAAAAGCTCACGGAGGTGGAGCCGGGCGCATGCAGTTTGGGGCTTTACGGTGCTAGCATTCTTCAAGCTGTTCCCCCCCCTCCCAAACACAGCGAAGCGACGTCGATTTTCTTAATTTGCCTGGTGATTAGCAATTTTGCACCAATAGTTCGTTGAGCCGTAGATCTATATTATGCGCGCCTGTAAAGCCGGGAGACACAGAGGTCCTGAGATAGAAGTCTAGAAAGATCCTGCACAGGCAGGCATGTACACAACCCCTAAACCCTGAAACCCCAAACTAAATGCCTCTACGCCCTAAACTTACTAAACCTAAACCCTACGTGCACCCCAAGTTATGTATAATAATAGCCCTTTATACGTATTGGGTCATTATTCTACCTACTTTGGGAGGTTTCGGTAATCCTTTACCCCTTTTTGCGGGCCAAACCCTAAACCCCTAAACTGAAACCCCTAGACCCCTAAAATCCCTAAACTCTAAACCCCTAAATCCCTAAACCCTGAACCCTAACCCCTAAACCCTGAACCCTAAACCCCTAAAGCCCCTAAACCCTAAACCCCAAAAGCCCCTAAGCCCTAAGCCCCTAAATCCCCAAACTGAAAAGGCCGCTTAAACGCCAGGTGAAGCAGGTCGTGGAAGTGGCGCAGGCCGAGGCAGGATTCCTTCGGAAGCGGCAAGTGGAGGCCTGCATGCTTTTGCCAAGAGATGTAGGGTTGGTTTTAGGAGTTTAGGGCTTTAGGG